CTCCCTAATGATGATGGGGGACTCCTCCCTCTCACGCATATTAAGCAGCAACCGTTGGGCTGTCGCAAGGATGGTTCCAGGAGCCTGATTTGCAGAAGAGAGACAATAAGACTCTTTTCCAGAGACGAGAGCTGGTCTTCTGCACATTTCCCCACGCGGCACTTAGATAATTTAAGACTCTGGGCTTGGTGGCCCTGTGTCCCCCGCCAGACCCCAGGGCTGATCTGGAGCCTACAGATTTGCTCAGCCTCCTCTCCAAGAGCCAGAGGGGCTTTGAAGGCCTTGAAGGCTTTGCACCTGCTCCTGTGGGAGACAGTGGCGGCCACCACATTGGACTGCTTCAAGAGAGGATTCAACTAATTCACTGAGGAGCAGGAGGCCATTGATCAATGGCTACTCCTAGCCACAATGGCTACGTTCTCCCTCCGCTGTCGAAGACCCACCACTTCTGAATCCCGGTGGCTGTGAACCACAAGTGGTGGGGAGAGCGACGCTGCTGCGCTCGGGTCCTGCTTCCAGGCTTCCCATTGGGACATCGGTGGGCTGTGGGCCTCATCCAGCAGGGCTCTGCTTCAGTTCTTAGCTTTTGTCCCAGGTTCATTCCAGTTAAAAGAAGATCAGGAGACGGGTGGTGTGAAGGCTGCCTGCCTGAGTCCACAAGGAGTGCCTGCCTGTCAGATCAGCAGTCGGCAAAGCTTCCTGGCTTCAGTTTCTGATACAAACATGCCATCAGTCTGGGCTGAAATTAAGACTCTGTTTTCCCCTTATCCTCTCTTGACGTGACGGCCGTGTCTTCCTCTCCCGCCACGGAGGTTGCCTGACTCCCTTGTATTGCCCCCTCGCTTAGCCTTATCCTGCCCCCTCCCCCGCATCCCTCTCTCTGCCTGGCTGGCTCCCCGACAGCTCCATCCGTCACCCGCTGTCACTCATGATTCTTATCCTCTTCTTCCGCTGAGCTTTGTCAAACTTTATCTGGGATTCCTTCTGCCATAACAGTTGCACTCCCCTTCGTTATGTCTGGTGGAGGAGGGTTCTCAGGTTTGAATTCTGAGGCACATTTCTTAAATCTGAATATTGGGGTTATTTCGTTTGGTGGTGGGCAGGGGAAACGGCAAAGGGAGAGGTGTATGATGGAGATTCACAGGCGTGAAGAAAATGGGTCGGCCACATTCACCATGTATTTAAACCGCTACGATGCCTCTTTAAACAGGCATGGCTTCCCGCAAAGGATTGATTCTGGGAACTGTAGTTTGTTAAAGGTACTGAGAGTTGTTAGCAGATGACCTACTGTATTTCTTCTCCCAGAGCTAAAATTCCCAGAGTGGTTTAACAGCCAGTCCCTCCTTTCAGGGAAGATTACTGGCCCCAGCAGGAGCCCAGAGGGCATGTTGCTTGTTGAATCAGCGCTACACAAGGTGGCCTTCAGATATCTTCTAAAGGTTATATAGTTACTTATTTCCTTGACATCTGAAAGGAGGCTGTTCCACAGGGAGGGCGCCACCACTGAGAAGGCCCTCTGCTGCTTCCTTGTAGCTTCACCTCTCACAGTGCCAGAAGGCGATGGGGGTGGAGATGCTCCTTCAGGTATACTGGGCTGAGGCCATTTAGGGCTTTCAAGGTCAGCACCAACACTTTGGATTGTGCTCAGAAACATAATGTGAGCCAATGAAGGTCTTTCAGGACCGGTGTTATATGGTCTCAGCAGCTGCCACCAGTCACCAGTCTGGCAGCTGCATTCTGGGTTAGCTGTCGTTTCCGAATCACCTTTAAAGGTAGCCCCACGGAGAGCTTGCATCTGCCATGCCTGCAGTCCTCACCTTGCGTAGGTAACATACTGATTTGAGCATTACAGTTGGGTTTAACAGCTCCATCCACACTGGCTTTGCTTCCACCGTCAGAGGCAGTAATGCAACCAAGTCCCTGTTCCAGAAGACACAGGAAGGGAGAGTGTTGCTTTTGTGTTCAGTTCCTGCTTGCTGTTTCCCCCCAGGCATCTGGGCGCCCCTGTGGGAACAGGAGGCCGGTCTGGGGGCCGTTGGCCTAATCCTGCAGCCAGGCTCTTCGGACGTTCTTATATCAATGTTGGAAGATTCAGGACAGATCTTCACGCAGCGCATAGTTATGCTGTATCGGATTTGCTCCCCCGAGAGGCAGTGATGGCCACCAACTTGGATTAGACAGATTCATGGAAGAGAAGGCTATTGATGGCTGCTCACCGCCAGGGCCACACTCTGCTTCCAGGCAGAGGGGAGAGCAATGCTTGTGGGTTTCCCACTGGGGCCCATGGCCTGACTCTGCAGACTCGGCTTATGTTCATATGGACCCTCCAGGTCCAGAGGCAGGCTATCTGTCCAAGGTTCTTGGGGGCCACCGTGGGAACAGGGTGCTGGACTGAATGGGTCACTGGCCTGATCCAGTAGGCTTGCCCTTAGGCTTCTAGCAGAAAAACGTAACCCCCGTCCAAGGCCTTCATCCAGTGAGAGCCTTGAGGTGACTGAGGACTCAAAGTACCGCCCCAAAGGCGCCACCGTCTCCCTCAGAAGGAGAACCATTTCTCGCCACGTGGAAGTGGCTTCCATGGTTCTGCCGGGAGAGAGCATCCGGGGAGCTGTCGTGTGCAAAAGATTTATGTGATGAGGAATAAGAGGCGACACGGGCTTATTAAGTTACTTCGTTCCAGCTGCGTTTGGAGAGGGAGTCTCCCCTGCAGCTTCACCTTTTAGCAGAGTTTCATCTGGCTGGGAGGTCCTGCGTGTGGGATGCTGGGACAAGCAAGCAGGCCTCCTTTCGGAGAGGGCGCTGGGCTGGATGTGCCCCCTTTGGTCTGATCCAGCCACCAGGCTCTCCTGATGTTCTGGTGCCTTTTGACAAAGCTCTCTCACACAAACTGGCAAGAGGAAGGTTTGGCTGGTATGGGCACCAAGCGGCTCCCAGGCCCATCGCCTTTCTGCCCCCCCTCCAAGTGGCCAGTCCCAGAAGTATAAAAGCCATCCCGGCTTCTGATTTTCAAGCTCCTCTCTTGGCAGCTTGTGGTGGAGGAGCAGGCGAGGAGAAGGGGCTGGCACCCCTGAGGCACCCCTGAGCCCTGGGTGTCATGCTGACTCTGGGGGGCAGGCAGAGGGCAGGGCTGGTCTGGGTGGGTGGGAAGAAAGGGGGAGCGCAAGGAGTCTTGATTCTTTTCAAAACGCTTTGTGCATCTGCCTCAAATCTTGCCCCTTTCTAAAAGTTATTTATTGGTGTGTGTGTTTATTGTTGTAAATCTACCAAAGAATAAAGTCAAATCAGGAGTGAGGGGTTTTCTCAGGACGGTGGGAGGCGTGTGTGCTGCGTCCCGTTGGCGCAGTGATGGTGGCTCTTGCCTTCCTTCTGATAGGAAATGCTCTGCATGGGGGGGGGGCCTTGAGGGTCGGTTGGGGGAAGTGAGAAATGTCCCAGTTTTCACCTCAGTAAAGTTGGAGGGTATATAGTAGCCACCAGTAACCTTTCCCCACAAAAACAAAGCCATGACCAGCTGCCTAGCCAGCCAGGCGCATTTTGGACCATATACCTAGAGGCAGCGGCATAGGGATTCACTTCATTTTAATAGAAATTAAGCTGTCTGCATCCCAGGGATTCTTCAAAGCAGTGGCTGGGCCTTGCGTCCCCCTCCACCCCGAGTCTTGCCGGAGGCTGGCGGCTGTTCCTCAGCACGTGCTCCTCTCTGTCACCCTGGCGCTCTCGGCTGCCGCTGTGCTAAACGTTCAATCCCTCTGCGCCAGGGCTTCCGGCAACTTAGTGCGCAATGTAATAAACCTGTATGTTCTGGAGATTTTTCTCTCCCTTTCTTTTCTCTTGCTTCTCTTCCCCAGTCGTGGCGGCTGGTGGAATTGCATTAGTCCCTGTTAAAAACGGCTGGTGGCGGGGTAATAAATTGGATGTGTCAGGCCTTTTTGCTTCTTCATCTCCTTTCATTACCTTGAGCGGTAATTTATCTCTCCCCAGTCACCATCGGTGGGAAGGAGAGCGGCGAGCAGGAGGGCCTGTGATGCTTTCAGGGATGGGGGGGGGGCTTGAGATGGGGGCCAAGTGGAGCAAAGGAAACGGGCAGCCAAGGATCACTCACAGGTGTGCATTTGAAATCAGAACCCCAGGTGGATTTTGTTTCCAAGAATATTCAAATGCATATTATTCTCATTAGTTTCTCTTTCTATTCCCTGTTACAGACACTGTTTGATTTGGGTCTCCTTTTAAAACAGGGCCAGAAATCAAGAGGAGGGAATATTCCACTTGGCATTAACAAAAAAATCACTTGCAGAATTTTAAGCTTGCAAAAGGCATTTTGCTCAGCTTCCACTGGGGGTCAAGGAGACCTTGACTGAAGCCGTCACTCTGTCACTACTCAACCGGGGATCCAGCAGGACTTAAAGTCTAAATAGACAGGAGTTAGGAATGCGATGGAAAGCTTACTTCTCTATTACCAGGGATTCACTCACTCATTCATTTTATTTCCTTATTGCATTCATATCCCACCTTTTCTCCAGCAGCAACATCCCAAAATTTTAAGTGCCTGCTTCCACCATTTTGAAAATATATTTCTTTCTGTGTCTGCAGTTCAGTGTTGTTAAGTCACAAGCCCTGGTGATCCTCGTCCTCAGGTTGCCCTGTGGGTAATAGTTGTAATACGCTTTTATTAAATATTTTGTCTTCAGTTGCAAAAGCAAAATTAAAACAGCAGGGGGCGTGGGCGCTGGCAAGATGAAGGACGCAATTAAGATAATACTCGCATCAGCCACGACAGATTTCCATTGTTCCTGTTTAAAGGTATTTTCTGCTTTCTAAATTAATGCATTTTTCTCGGGCACGGCACAGATTTTCTACGCTGCTTTGCCCGTTCTTCCCAAAATCAACCTTCCTTTCTCAGTTTCATACGGTGGTCCTCGTTTTACCTCTGGAAATGGCCAGAGGCCTGTCTCATCCAGTGCCTTGCTATGGGGTACTGACTTCCTGATGCCTTTTGAGAAGCCTGTGGGATAGCTCAGTTAGCAGAGTATGAGAATCTTACTCTCAGGCTTGTGGGTTCAAGCCCCACACTGGGCAAAAGATGCCTGCATTGCCGGGGGTGGACAAGATGACCCTCGTAGTCCCTTCCAACTCTACCATTCTGGAATTCTGTGAATCCCCTCTCCTCCTCCTCCTGTCCCCTGGGATTTTGAGGTAGAAGAAGTGAGGCATCTGATCAAAATCTGCTTTGAGCTTAAAAAATTATATTTGTAAATATATTTTTCTCTCATGCAAGGGAGAAGAGCAGCTGAATACTCCGGCAGCTGTTCAAGGGGCCCCACTGCTATAAATAAAAGTATTTCAAGGTTGTAAAAGGAAATTAGAGCCAGAGAGCAAAAGGTCACACTGACCAGAATACAATCAAGCTGTAAAAACACAATTAAGAACTGGTAAATAGTGAAATTTATTGTTTAACAGAAGACTCTAGCCATAAGGTTAAAGGTTAAATTGCAAGAGGTTGCCTTTAGGAACAGCAGCTGGTTAGAAAAAAAGTTCTCTCCAAGCTGTTCTGAAGCTTCAGAGAACTTAGGAACTTAGCTTTTACTAAATTCCTTCTAATTTGAAAAGGCCTTTCCTTCTAAAAATCTATCTATGTTATGTATGAAATATATTGGCTTAAATGTGATTATGCAAAGGATTTAGAAAGTAAGAAATGTTAGATTCTTATGTTAGATTCCTATTATGGTGGGTGAGAAGGTGAACTCAAGATCTCTTTAAGATAAAAAATTAGAAACCATGCACCATCTGCTTTAGCCATCTGGTTTGCGGTGAATAGGGCAACAGGGGCCAAAGGTTATCTGGTAATTGAGGTGCCTGGTCGAGGTAAATGTAAGATATATGGCTACTTGTCTGCCATTTATGGATACAAGGAAATATAGCTTTTTGTCTCCCATAAAAGGGAATAGGAAATGGGTGTATCTTTTATGATTGGTTCTAGCAAACAACCAATAGGAATTTCAACCAGGCTGATTGGACAGAGGCAGCCAAAGGAGGAGCAAGGGGGCTGGGCTGAGGAAATATAAGTGCTGGCCATCAAGGGCTGGAGTAGGCAGAGCTTTGGTATCCATATACCACTGTGTCTCTCATTTATTTGTCTGACAAATAAATTATTATTTTAATTTCTCTATTGCTGCGTTGAATATTTCATTCCAGCTAAGCGTTAACCACAAGCAGGGTGCTACATTTTATGGTGCCTCTGTGACTCGGATAAGTGGTCTGCTGGAACGCAGCCCCTTCGCCCTAGCGGGCAGGGTACAAGAGGGAGGACCACTGACCGCTTACCCAGCGCGCACTGGAACATTTTTCCAGGGGAACGCAGAAGTCTCGTCTGTCTGATACCCTGCTCACTGGCGGCGACGGACCGGGGGTAACCAGAGAAATAAACAGGGAACCAGCTAAGGGTAAGTGCACAAAGGGGTTGTGGCCCTCCAATTAATTGGGAGGAAGAGAAGTCTTGATCAAACTTCTGCGTCTCAGTAAGGGGGAACTGAGTACGCTAGGTGGTTGGGTACATCAGATGGTGGTCTGGTGGAGGGAAAAGGGAAAGATTGGGAGGTAGAGTGTGGTGAAGTATCCAGCGCATTGTATGTGTGAGAAAGTACAATCTGTAGCTGACCTGAGTGTGGAGTGGGTAGTACTTCGGTTCCTAGTAAGGCGACTTCACTAGGCAAGGATCCCCACGAAGCGTGTGTGTGAGTGACTGAGTGGATACTTCACAGGGCCATACAATGGGAGTTGGAGGTTCAAGGGGGGAAAATACACCTCTTGAATGTATGTTAAATAATTTTAAGAAAGCCTTCTCAGGAGCATATGGAGTCAAAATGACGCCAGAGCGCTTGAGAACGTTATGTGAATTAGACTGGCCAAAACAAAATACTGGATGGCCACCTCAGGGAAGTTTTGATATAAATTTAGCAAGCAAACTTTGGTCTAACATCACCAAAGAAACTGGAGGGTGCCCAGAACAATTTTCATATATAGATTCTTGGCTGAGCACATTAAATAATAATCCTCCATGGATAAGGGAATGCAAAGTCCAACAATGCAAATTATTGGCTGTAAAAGCCGAAGCTAGAAAAGGAAAAACCTCAGGCTATGATGGACTTGGTGACTTCAATAGTAAATACTCATAGTCCTACTTGGACAGATTGCCGCCAGCTCCTGAATACTCTGTTCACCACTGAGGAAAGAAGAGACATAATTGAAAAGGCACAGATATATTTGCGTGAGCAGGCCAGAGTGGGAAATATTCTTAATGTTGACCGTCATCTCCAGGACAATTTTCCCTTGGAGGATCCTAATTGGGATCCAAACAATGCAATTCACCTGGCCAGGCTTACCACCTACCGCCAGACGCTTGTGCAAGGTATCCGCAGGGCATGCCAGAAGCCCACTAATATGACCAAAGTCTCAGAAGTAGAACAGAAACCGAATGAGAGTCCGGGAGACTTTAGAGAGGCTGCAGGAAGCCTATCGTATATGGACTCCTTTTGACCCTGAAGCCCCTGCAAACAGCAGAATGATTACTGCTACTTTTGTGGCTCAGTGCGCTTCTGACATTCGTAAGAAAATTCAGAAGTCAGAAGGCTGGGAAGGGATGCTGATGAGCCAAATTATGGCCATTGCACGCCGAGTTTATCGGAATAGGGATGAGGCTGAGAAACAAGAGAAGAAGAAGTGGCAGAAGGAAAAGATGGTGATGCTAGCCACAGCAGTGAAGCAAGACTACCGCCCTTTAAATGGAGGGAGAGGGCGGGGAGGAATCCACCACTGGGAAGGAATCAATGTGCGAATTGCAAGAAGGAGGGTCATTGGAAGCGGGAGTGTCCTGAACCCCTGAGGTTGGAAGAAGTACGCCCAGGCCCAGGCCCAGGCTCCGGCCCAAGAAACCAGGGACGGGGATGGGGAATGATCCGAGATGGAAGATATCAGAGACCTGGACAAGGACGGAGTAGAGACAATTTCATTGGACTGGCAGAGGAGGATTTTACCCAAGACTAGGAACGACCGGACTCCATAAAGTTAGGCTTCCAGGAGCCCACGGTCAAAATTCAATTAGGGAGCCATTTAATAGACTTTATGATAGATACTGGCGCTGAATACTCAGTACTCCCAGAACTATTGCAGAAAAAGGCATCCAAAAGTGTAGTCATTAAAAGTGCCACTGGTCAGTCAGCTAAGAGGTCTTTCCTCCAACCTTTAGAATGCCAGATTGGGGGACATCATTTAACCCATCAGTTTTTGTATATACCTGAGTGTCCAATGCCTCTCTTAGGTAGAGATATGCTGTCCAAATTGCAGGCCCAAATCACCTTCACTCCTCGAGGTCCAGAAATGAAACTGCCATCAAAGGCAGCAGGAATAATTCCCTCTCAATACCTAAGGAACAATCATGGCGCCTAATGTCAGCCCTGCAAGTCCAACCCACATTGGATACAGAATTAAACAAGCTCCTCCGAACCCTACAAGTGCCACCAGGAGTATGGGCCGAAAATAGCCCACCAGGAATGGCTAAGAATATAGCTCCAATTGTAGTAACCCTAAAACCTATGGCTACCCCTGTATCTGTAAAGCAATATCCTTTACCCCGGCGAGCAGCAGAGGGCATCCAGAAACATTTGGACCGCCTATTAAAATATGGTCTGCTTAAGCCCTGCCAATCAGAATGGAACACACCCCTTTTGCCTGTTCGGAAGCCTGGGACAGATGAATACAGGCCAGTACAGGACTTGAGGCTCGTAAACCAGGCTATCGAGACCTTGCACCCAAATGTACCAAACCCATATACCTTGCTGAGTTTGATCCCACCAGAAGCAACTATCTTTACTGTATTGGACTTGAAAGATGCATTCTTCTGTTGCCGGCTGGCACCACAGAGCCAACCTATATTTGCCTTCCAGTGGGAAGACCCTTTGACAGGAACAAAAGGCCAGCTAACCTGGACAAGATTGCCCCAGGGATTCAAAAATTCCCCAACTTTATTTGGCACTGCCTTGGCGAAGGATCTAACAAGTTACCCCTCAATACCTGGAAAAAAGGTGGTTCTGCAATATGTAGATGACCTTATACTAGCGGCAAAGGATTTTGATACCTGTAAAGAAGGGACAGAGGAACTGCTCCACTTGCTCTGGGAAGCTGGCTACCGAGTTTCCCAGAAAAAGGCACAGTTATGTTTAGAAAAGGTCAAATATTTGGGCTTTGACATCTCACACCAACAACGAGCATTGAGACCAGAGAGGAAAGAAGCTATTTGCCTTATCAAGGAACCTACCACAAGGAAACAACTCAGAGGATTCCTGGGAACAGCAGGGTTTTGTAGACTATGGATACCTGATTTCAGCAGTCTGGCCAAGCCCTTACATGAAAGCACTCGAGGTGCAGAAAAGGACCCATTCGTATGGGGACCTGAGCAGCAACAAGCCTTTTTAGTTATCAAACAACGACTTATGGAGGCCCCAGCCCTTGGACTGCCTAATTCGGAAAAACCCTTTCAGCTGTATGTACATGAACAGAATGGGATTGCAGCAGCAGTCCTGACCCAGAGATTAGGAAGTTGGAACCGTCCAGTAGCTTATTTGTCAAAACAATTGGACTCAGTAGCAAAGGATGGCCTCCATGCCTAAGGGCAGTAGCGGCCACTGCAAGCCTTGTCAAAGAAGCTGATAAATTTACCTTTGGCCAGACGATGTATGTGAATGTACCTCATGCTGTTCTGACACTCATGGAATATAAGGGTAGTTATTGGCTAACGAATCCAAGGATGGCTAGATACCAAGGCCTATTGTGTGAAAATCCCAGGATTCATCTACGAGTAGTGAATATGCTCAATCCAGCAACTTTGCTGCCCTACCAGAGGTAGATGATGAAGAATCACATGATTGTCTCCAAATAATGGATGAAGTGTATTCCAGTAGACCCGATCTGAAAGATGAACCATTGAAAAATCCAGATGTTGTATATTATACTGATGGTAGCAGTTACCTGCATGAAGGTGCCAGACGAGCAGGATATGCTGTGGTCACCAATGAGGAAGTTGT